GTATTAACTCTGAAATCCTTTCCAAGCTCTCAAGTAGAACGCGATTATCCTGTTGGTGCTGAATTTTAAGACAAAGAACGGAAGAGTATTATGCAAGAAACGTGATGCAAAGGGAACTCGAGAATTCTTCTAAAGTCATTTTCGATTTATTGTGAAGTGATTATGACTTGACTCAAATAGTAAAGGAAAGGCTGAAAGGCTAGCATGTCGTAGTTCCACTTATGTTCGACGCTTTTCTCGATTAAAAGAACAAAGTGCGCCAAGATTCATTGCTGCTGAATATAATTGTTCGGGAGAATCAAAGTGCAAATATGAAAATGTTCGGCGATGTTTTATAAGCAGCATCTTGTTTCCTAAGCGTTGGGCATAGTTTTAACTTGGCTGCCTTTCACAGCAGTCCATTTGATGTCTTTTGTATTTCTCCTTCTTTCGCGTATGTCGAAGAACATTCCAAATGCAATCTTTTGCTGCTGTTTTACGGTATTTGTAGGACAAGGGTTCAGGCAGGTTTTCTGCACACTGTGATATAAAGCGAAAGCGAACCTTGTTGCTTCGTTACAGAATTTTCGTTGGTTCTGATTCGGCTGACCTTTCCCATGACAAGCTAGAATCGGAATATTGCTTATGCCATAGTTTTCTTGTTCATATTACTTGTCAACGATCTCAAGTGCTAAGGTGCTAGTTTTGTTTGTTAGGTGTCATTATGGACTCGCGATGCAACGCGCGACGACGTGAATACTCGCATTGGGCTGGTGTTGAAAGCGAAGCTTGATATACCGGATTCCGAACCACTGAGGTTAGTTTCATTGTGAGTTGTAGCACAAGTGGTTGTAGTCATTGGTCGTCATTTCTAGATATGAAGTCCATAAAGATTCGTCGGTGCGTACATCCTCGATGGTTAAGCCACGTATTATGATTCCAAATAAAGAGGCAACTGCAACGGCTGCTCGTTGAGCGTTTCCAGTGTTCCAGTTCTTCATCAACTGCCCAGAAGGGAGTCAGCTAGTTTGGTGTTTCAACTATTCAGTTTCGTTTTGTTGTAATTAATATTTCCTTTATGTGTAGATAAGCCGGTTCTACCGGCACATCGGGTGAAATCTGGACACCCTTGTAGCACACGATTGTCTCGATTGTGTGCCCTGCTGGTGAATTTTGCGATCGAGTGCACTTTTTGGTGTTCTTTGCTGTCCCTCCATTGGATGATATCCTCTGTTCAATATCTAGTTGTCCTTTTTTAATCGTTTGTTTTCGCTTTGAATACGATGTCTCGAAATGGAGAAGAACGTAAGGAAGCCTCCTTTTCCCAGGGTTCGGTCTTTTGTTTAGCTCGAATTATTTTCATCTTCATGGTAGCCAAGCTTCACCTATGTTGTGAACTTCCCGCTATTCCTATAATGGGTGGTTCTTGGCGATGTTCACTTTAGAAGAAGGCAGACAGCCACTATCAGCGTTCGAAATGCGGGGTCGTCCCGGTTTTCTTTCATTCATCTCAGAAATGTTAAAGTGTTACCGGTTAATTTTTTCTAATGAACATTTTCTAATGCTGTGTGTATGTTTTTGGTTGCTGCTCAACTTTTTTGGTTACAAAATGACGGAGTATTTTAGTGGATTATCGAAGTTATTTATTCAAAACCAATTTGAATTAGTTTTATGATAAAGAAAGGCAAGGGAGAATCAAGCTCAAAATCTTCATGATTGTTCCAAGTGAGCGAAAATAAGGAAGTAGGACAGATGATGTGATAGTCGTGTGCAGTCATCTTGAGGTCTTAAAGCATTGTGAAGTGCGCTGAGAATCGAAAAGGCGTCTGAATGGGTAGGTAGGTAGGTAATGCAATCGTTTCATACAGATAGCTGGAAACAGTTTTCATTTTGATGTTATAATCTCCCAGAGGTATGGGATAGTGAAGAGTTAGAAGGAAGAGAAGGCCTGTGTTTAGTTATAGCTTGGTCGGGTCCGAATCTGCAAAGTGAATCTGAGCGTGCTTGGACTATGAGGCCAATTTGGCGAAGTACATATGTCTAATGAATTAGAGGAAACCGAATCAATAAATAAACATGTGGTAGTATCACTACTCGTGATTTGGAGCAGACACCGCTTTAGTGATGGGATTTGATTCTTCGGCCTTTCTTGCACCATTGTACTGGTCGCCGACGGAATCAGATGTGGGTACATTTGCTTGAGCGTGCCAGTTCCTGGAACACATCGGCCTCAGAAGGACTCCAGAGATTTTCTCTATTACTGTCTTTAAAGGTTCTAAGAAGTTAAGCGTCTATTCCACTCAGGGGGCACCAAAATGCAGTTTTTCAGAAAGCTACGGTAACTCCGAGCCAGGGTGAGTAGGCAGTCTAGGGGTTGGGGTGAGACGAGTCACTTGATGCGTGAAAAGCTGGACGTTTGAAGTTTACTCTAGTTGCACGGCGGAGAACTACTCATGATGGTCCCGCTAACGTGGCAACAAGAATTGAAGTTGAACTTACTTGTTAGTGCGCCTGATTCTTTCTCGAAATTGTTGGGCAACGTTGAGACAGCCGTGAATAGACAGCCTCCTGATAACGACGGATCTCTTTCGACCTGAGAGAGCGTAAAATGAACCGTCCACATAAACTACTCTAGCCTGAACATCGGTAGGTACACAAATTTTATAGTAGGGGAAATAGGCCATTGGAAACAACCAGATAGAAAGTGAATAGAAGTAACTGGCCTAAATAATGTGCTTGGATTTTAGCCAAATTTTAGAGACAGTATTCAGCAGAATGGCGTTGTCTTGGGATGGCAGTAACAATGCTAAAGAATGAGTTTCTTCACGAACCGTACGTCACAGTGGTAGCGCGGGTGCAGAATTCTATCCTCTGTTTATTGGCTTTAAAGGGTGTTGAATGTGCGATTGGTTGGAGGGGTGAAGCAGCGTTGGCGTCCTACGTTGCACAAGTAGGCAACGGGGGCGGGCTCGTTTTTTGATGAGGTTTTTAGACGGGGGGCGGGGTTCGTAGGTATTTTGATATGTTTGTGGTGGGGGTCGGTGTTATATTTTATGGGGTGTAGAGGAGGGGGGGGGGGGGTGCGTGACCTGCATCGATTCTAGAGAAGTTGCGATCAGTGTGGGGAGGGAGTCGCGCCCCGACGGCGGGGCCGGAGAAATTGTGCGTTTAGCGGCGGGGGCGCGCGTATATATCCCCCCTAGGAAAAATGAAGCGTGGGATTAAAGGTAGGAGGGGGTAAATTGGTGGGAAATTTAGAGGAATTTAGGTAATTTTTACGGTTTCAGAGTGACTATATACCCCCCGCTCGACGGCATTTTTGGAGGAAAAAGTGGGCGGAGTTTTCGTGGTTCGAGTGATACCAGAATGAAATACTATAGCGAGGAATATGGTGGTCGAGGGTCGAGAGGGGGGTCGTACCAAATCCACCTTTGGGGAGGGGGGTCGTAAAAATTTTTCGAAAAGTAGCAACGATAGGACCGACCCTGGGGTGGGTGAAGCGATTCTGGTGGCGTCACTGAGTGTGATTGGTTGGGGGTTGAGGGGTGTTTCCAGCACCAACCCTTTCCCCCTCCCCCTGCTTAGCAAGGTAGACGTCCTCTGGGGTCCTCCAATGCACCACCCTTTTATGGCCACGCCCCCATATCACTGTGCTCAACATAAAGGTCGTGGGCGCTTCTTTTGATAAAGTAGTTTTTAAAAGGCCATGATGAAAGTTACCTCAGTTCCGAAGGATGATGGGCAGGTATAAAAATTGGATGGCCGGTGTTGGGAACTGGTTGGGCGTTGAAGCTCGTCATCAGGTCGTTGTCTTCGAAACAAGGTTCTGTAATGGGAACTAACAGAAATAAGGAGAAAATGATCTCGATTGGTAAATTTCGAATCACAGGATTCATTAAAAACCAAATATTGGCTAATTCGGATGCTAGCAAAAAAAGCATCAAGTGAATTTTTGAACGCTTCCATCGATTTACCTGCACTATTCCTGAAAAAACGTGGATTCTGTTGCTCCAGCGTCCTGAAAAAAAAATCGGAATTAAAACTGCGTGAGGCTGGCCATTTCACAATTACGTAGGCCTTCGTGAGTTATTACCTAACGATAAGGCTGTTATAATTCCATTATCAAACGCTGTGGCCCCACTTATTTTGATCTGGGGGTAGTGCTCTCTGTAGCGGCCACTTTGTGGACGTTGGCAGTTTATGGCATTTTGCTAGTATTATGGAGCTCTTGCAATAATTCTGCAACCCTTATGTATTTTTTACATTTCTGGGTCAGCACGGTCTTCGGGCGGGATAATATCTTCGATATAATATCATTCTGCTCTAGTTAGATTCTCCTACAATTTGCTCTTATCTACGCCTAGTGAAAGTGCCTTCATAGCTACTTGTCACCAATCTTCCCGTCACGACATCATCACCGTTTACAAGTCTTCACCATGTGCCATCACTGCAAAAGTCGGTCACTCCTACCATCGGCTGAATAGTATCTTCCATTTGTATCTGCGGGAATGTCAAAACTGACTGGAACATCGGTGGTTCTCACAAATCGCAGCGTAGGCCGAATCGCATTCAAATGGCACTACGATTTCGAATGGAAGTAGAATGCGTGGTGCATCATTCGTTATGGCTGAAGGCAAGAAGTGACTCCACCTAGCGATTCCAAGAAGGAGATTCTGGTCTAGCCAAGGCATGGTGGGATCCTCGCCTCACCATCGCTTTCATGGTGTAACAGCGAACCGTTCATTGAACAATCCCAACGAGGAGTTTCATGTTTGAATCTGAGTGGAACCAATAAATTGTAGTTGTAGTGAAGACGGAAGAGGTGGGAAGAGAAGAACTCTGGAAAAGGGGACGTTTTTATGGAAGTTGGCAAACTTTCGAGTATACCACAGTTTCTCAACCCCAACCAGCCGACAGTCGTTTTGCTATCTGGAATGATTCTTCGAGAAGGGAGGAAGGAAAGTGGGTTGTATGTTCTGGCCCCAAAACGCAGCCTACGCAATGGTTGGCCTTCCATGGACTTTCAGAAAGTTGGCTTGTGAAAAACTGATAAAAACGTTCATACTTTTTTTGTAGTCTTACGTTAACACATACCTTCGGCAGTCGAGCAGACTGTGATCAGGTGAGGTTCGATCCCGGTTTAGGCCATAGCCGATTTCCAACAAGTACAGATTCAAAGCGTTCAGCCTAAAAAATATAGTAATGCGTACGATTTACGAGATAGTTTTTCGGAGATACCATGAGATAGGTCTGTAAATGTAACTTTTATAATATGAACCACTTGGTATGTCAAAAGCAATCCTCAGGTGCGTGACGAGCATTCAGAACGACTCGGTGGGAACAACTACCTAAGGCTGATATTGAAAAATTTTTGAATCTTATCTTACTCCCCAGACCCTCTCGCTTTTGCTGTCTATTTCCTGCTTATTTCATCGAACTGTTAAGGCAGAGCACGAGCCATTTCTTCTCGAGCACTTATTTAAATTACCAGTTTAGCTCCGCCCGCTACCGCGCGCATTGATAGAACTGACAATCGATGAAGCTTTAGGTTTCACCGCTAAATTATAGCTGCTTCGTTAAATGTATTACTGTCCGTTGCATAGGCTGGCTGTATCTCACTGTTTGATAAGCGCAGTGAAGTGCACAGCTAAAGTGATGATGTAAACAACCACTATGCGTCGAGTATCGAGGTAATTTAGCGGTCGAATATCTCAAAACGGAATGCCTAGTATTCATTATCATATTTATTCGAGCATCCCATTCATCCTCAAGAACTCTAGAAGGTGTAGCGGTCGAAAGGTGTTTGAGTTTACAATTACAACGCTGATGAAATGATATTGAAATGAAAGGCATTATCTACAATCTGCTCTCTATTTCTATTTCAAGTGCTCTCTACGTTCGTCGTATATCAGTCCTCATCAGTCGTTATCACTTTGTGACCCCCACCAAATATGTTCCCGTCCCACCCCCTATATCATGTCCCAAAATCAGCTCCTGACGACTGCTGCGAAGCGCACATGAATTTCGTGAAATTTGTACTTCAGCGCCTCGTATCTACCCTTATCATTCGTTACCACTTCGTGACCCCCCACCAAATATGTTCCCGCTCCACCCCCTATATCATGTCCCAAAATCAGCTCCTGACGACTGCTGCGAAGCGCACATGAATTTCGT